AGATGCACTTTTGTGCATTTAATAACCTTGTAGCCGTATCGTTTGGTAGATTATACTGATGTCATTTGAAGTAGTTCGAAATTGACAATTTGACTTTCCTTTAACATGGAATATCACTTTTGTTGTCACAAAGTGTTGCCCTTGTTGTTCGTTCCGGTAATAAATTTGTACAACTCAATGTCACTTTTGTATAATTTCTGTGCTGTTTTTTTTCCTTCTAATTCTTGGCTGATAATAATCATACTTTAAATTTGAAATATTCTTATTAATTATGATATAATTATTTATATTTTAATTGATTCATTACTCCTTTTTAACATATATTAATAAATAAATTTAAGCTGGATTTTGAAACAGGTTCTTTTACGTATTGCAACTTATGTAAACATTTCTGAGACTAAACAGTATGAGGGAAATATGACATGGCTGAAGTGAGACTCAAACCCATGATCCCTTGGTTGAGATGCAGACGCCTGACTGGGCCACTCCTCTCTGCCAAACATCTTTTTCGGATTTTTTTATTTTATTTTTTATTTGATTGATTGATTGATTGATTGATTGATTGATTGATCACTTTGAAAATGTATTTTTACACAGAGTAATAAAACAGTCCATGTAAATCCTCACTGTTTATTTAATTTTATCTATCATTTGCGGTTTATACAGAAATTATTTTAGTACGATTGTGTAGGAAGCTATAAGCTTATAGACACACTTTCGAATCCTTTCCTGGAACCAACCAATACTGAGCAATGAGTGTGAAGTTTCTTGCCCAAGGAAACAACGACTTGCCCTTGACGGGGTTTGAACCCATGCGGCTAGCGATCATAAAAATTACTAGCCCGACGCGTTAATCACTCGGCCATGTCGCCACTTTCATTTTAAGTAGAAATGGTAGAAATACAGATATATCAGTAAATTGTGATGGAACAATTTATCTCTTTTTTAATATTGAGATGAGTTCTATACAGTAATCTATCACAGAACCAATCATGGAACTATGGAAGGTTTTAATCCAAACAGATCATTTCATTACATGTACTTCAATCACAATAACATATATTATTTTGATTTATCTTTTTTAATTTGAATGTTTTATGGATACTATTGTCTTTCGTCAATTAAAACTGTGACATTAATTTTCATGCCTCTCTTTGTCAAAACCATCGGTATCTAAGGACCAAAATGGAAATAAGAGATTAAGTTCTCTTTTTTGTGTTATCCTTAGTATGATGTTTTTGATGTTTCATTTCTTATTGATACTTGTTTTTTTTTTTTTTGTTTTATCATGTATTGGATATGTTTTACCATGTTATTGCTGAATAATGAAATAAATCTATCTATCTATCTTATAAATTTGATCATCATTTAACATTTCTCAAAATCTTAGTTAGTGGCCCGTTATAGTTTCCAACAAGCAATTATCATAGTATTGCAAGCAATCCATAAGTCCCTTACCGGTTAGAACCCCAGCAACATTCTGAAGGGCCATTGGCCATTCACTTTTGTTTCTATTTTAAGAAAATTTGTTGAAAAAATTCTTTAAAAGTGATCACAGGAAACAGTTTTTATGTACAGACAGACAGACGGACTGAAGGACACTCTAAAGTTATATTTTTAAACATCCCTGTTATCAAAATATAACATTTTTAAAAGCAAAATTCTTAAAAAGGAGATAACTCTTGAAATAAAGATGCAAGACGTCATACATGATGTGAGTGTAACAAAGAACAATTAGTAATGAAGGTATTGATAATGAATGTTTATTTTGAATTTGAAGTAAAAGAAAGTTAAAAGAACGAATAAGAAAAATTAAAAGTTTAAGGAGGAGATAATTCTGGAAATATGGATGATAGATTTATAAACCTTGTCATATTATTATGATATGAGAGTTTGAGGAAAATCCTATAATGATTGAAGCAGTTGGAGTAAAAATTACCAATTTCTCGAAAAAGGTCTAAGTTCAAAAGGGGCATAATTCTGGAAATAGTCTTGCTAAAGTATTGAACTTTCCACAAATGTTGAGTGATAATAAGAAACATATATATGAAGTCTGAAGTAGATACATTCAGAAAAAAGAAGTTATTAAAAAATAAAAACAATATTTTTTTTCATGCAAATTTTAAGTTCAAGGGATGAAATTCTGATAAATTTTGTGCTAGAGTTGTAAACCTTGTCACATGATGTGGTTGATGACTAGAAACTTATATTTAAAGTTTGATGAAAATACCTTAAGAAATAAAGAACTTATAGTGAAAAAAACGTAAAAACTAGAATCAGAAATCTTGAAATTCAGTCTATTTGTTGCCATAGTAACCAGAATTTTCAACATAGGAAGAAAGGAAAAGGATGTGCATAATCTCCAGACTGCCATCTACCCATATTTTAAGTTTCATAAAAATATTTTCAGTACTTTTTGCGTTATCACTGGATCCAGGTTATGTGTAAAATTTGCGATATTTTCAGTCTATTTGTTGCCATAGCAACCAGAATTTTCAACATAGGAAGAAAAGAAAAAGATGTGCATAATCTCCATACTGCCATCTATCCATATATCAAGTTTCATAAAAATATTTTCAGTTCTTTTTGCGTTATCCAGTTTTGGGGACAGACGGACTGACGAATTGACAGACGGACAGACGGAATGACGGACGGTCGGAGGGTAAACCTAAAGTCCCCTCTGGTAAACCGGTAGGGGACTAATAAAAATATGTACAAGCCAATTATCTTAACCATCTTCTGTGTTTTTGCCCTTAGCAATTACTAAACTTTTCTTGATTAAGTATTTTGTATGGAAGTCAATATATTAAATGTACTTTTTTACGTTTTGTTACTTTTATGGCAACTAAGATTTATATTCAGCACTTCTTTCATCCAGAATGAATCTCTAAACATAAAACTCAAGTCTGCCCTTTCTAAAAGAAGAGACACTAATTTGTTTCTAAGGCATAATGTGCCTTAAACATTGCTGTCTAATGCTCTTGTTAACAAAATCCAACTAAGTTAAATGTATTGGTCATATGATGTAACTAGAACTGCGGTGCTAACCAATGTTAAAAGGGAGACAACTCATATAATGAGAGTCACAATATCAACACATTTTGTCTCCCTTGTAAACAAATATAAACCACTACATCAGGACTGTATTGTTTTTTTTTGTTGTTTTTTCCAAGCTTTGTATGTATGTTCAGATTTGGAATGTACATTGTTCTTGTATCTAGATAAATGTGCATGCAGATCAATGATGTGGGGAGACAGAAGTTTCAGAAACCACTCCTCTGTTTGTTTTATTCTTTTAATAGCATATAGAAGTAAGTTAGGAACATTAGCTTACCATACGGGTAAAGAAAATGGGGGAAGTCATGATTTTTTTATTTATATGGAAAGCTGCACTTAAAATTTAAATAAAAGTTTCATGATATTACACAGATTGTGAAATAAAGGTTTAAAGATGCTGTATGTTGTAATTACGGTTGTTACCATACTTAAGTGAAATTTTATATATGTATATAATTATGCTTCTAAAACCATTTTCAAACATAGAAGAATATTTAAAATATGTACTGCAAATATTTGTCCCAATTATATGTAATCATTAAAATATAAGCTTTCATTTCTTATTGAAAATTTTGACTTAAACTTTATACAAAATAAATTTCTAATTACCTCCCTTTATTAACATGAAATGTAAATTAGGTAATATCTTTACAAATAATTCTTTTTGGAACTTACAATACTGATAAATCTTCATTTGAACATTATATTTGTGATATAAAATCATTAAAAATTGAGTTATAGGATCTTTAAAATGATGTCCATTCGAGGTGCACTACCTTAAATAATGAAAAGGAAGGAAAAAGAAGCAGACTATTCATTATGAAGCAGTGTTTATTTATCACAGTGGTTCTGGCACATTTTTTTACAATAATTTAAAATATCTGATTATTATTATACAAATATAACGGTAAAATGATACAAAAATTAAAGATAACAAATTTTGGATTGATATTTTTAACAGGATACCATGGATAGGATACAAAAACTATAATTTACTAAAAACAATGGCAAATATGCATACACCTAAATATACACTGATTATAACAAAATTCATACAAATTCTACAAATATATATAAATACAATATATAAACTAACAATATATGGCCATTTCCTATATATTCAAAGCTGCATTATTCAACAACAGAACCATAATGGTTTTTAAAAACTTTTATGCAGAAAATCATCAATCTTTTATGAAAGATGTCCAGAGCTTCCGCATGATTTTTTATTTCCATTAAATATCCTCTATTTCATATAAAGAGTACCCAAGTCTGTACTTCCACTATATGTTACTCAATCTTACAATTTCACCTTTCTGTTTTAATTAAAATCCTTTTTATTGCTATTGAAGTATTTTACATTTTTTTTTCACAAATTTCCTATACCAGTACATGTATTAAACTTGTAACACAATGTCCTTTTTATACCTTATATGGACTCTACAAAGTCACAATGTTACATTTGAAATATTGAAGTGTAAATAACCAAATGGTTGGTCACAGACAGTGTAAAGCAAATGAAGAAATCTACACATATATCCTTTGTTGTTACAAAAAACTTCCTATCTACCAACCCACTGAAAAAGAAGTGGGTAGTGCAATTGTAAACAAATCATAATTTGCTGATGTTACTAAAAATTAAATTTACTATCACAAATATTCAAGCCACAAACTTTATGAGCATTTTAAACAAGCAAATGACGTTGTGTTGGCTTTGAAATGACATCAATATTTTTAAATTCACATAGAGATTTCCTAATTCCCCCCTACCTCCAGAAGTTCTAGTGATGACGACAGTGAATTATACAACTTCAAATTTTCAACAAAGAGTATTATGATGACTCTTAATCTCTAATGAGGTACATGTAAACTTAGCAAATTAACAATTCCTGCTAAAATCTTATTCTAATCTGAAAATCTTCTTTGAACTAAAATTCTTTTCATTTAAAGCGGCCTTCAGCTTTTATTTTCTGTTGAAATAACAATTCTGTTGTTTCAAACTAAGTATTTCAGTAATTTTATATTGAAAAAGTGCATGATATCACTGTTAATCCTTCTACAAAACTGCGCCTGAGATCTATTTATAACACATCAGTGACGTTCATTTCTAAAAATAGAAGATCTGAAAACGAAATGTTTAATTTACTCATTTCAAATATAGAACGCGGACTGATAGATTAGAGGTATTGACTGGTTTCCCTATTGTTATTTTATTTTTTCCTCAGCAAATTTCATTTTCCACCTTACATGTATTTCTTTTGATTTTACAATTATATGAAATGATTTATCTTAAAATAACATTATGTAACCTTTAGATATAATAAACTGAAGGCTGCTTTAATACAGTGATGAAAAATAATACAACATGCCATGTGTGATTTCAATTACAGATCACTAGTTAAAATCTAGTGTTGTTATTTACCTACAAGATTTTAATCATTTTGACTACATTTTACAGTTTGTATGGATCTAAAAACACATCTATATAATTTTCAATGCAAAAAAGCATTAATCATTTACATAACGGTACTGCACATACAACATTTGTGTATATTTTAGGATTATTGTACTACTATCAGGCTAAAGTGGCTTTCATCTTGTCCATAGCTTCCATATAACCAGTGTTAAAATGGCCGCCTCTTGCAGACACAAAATTGTCATATCTGAAAATAAGAGGGAAACTTGAATACAAGATTTAATGATACATTGTAAATGGAAAAGCTTTTTAACCTCAACAATATTTATTTCCTTTTCAATATTTTCTAAACAATGCATTTATTACAACCAGAATTGAGTAGAAAGCTTGAAAGCTTATATAAAACTCTCTCCTGAACCTTTGTTATACAAGTATTTAACATCATTTATGATAATGAAATCAAAGTTTAATAATCATTTCAGCCATCACAGTGACAGGCTTATGCCTTAAAGGCCAATTAATGGTGCATTAATGCCAAGCAATGGTAATATCTCAGCTGTATTCCACAAATGACAAAACAATTTATCCAACATGATTTCTGATCACTAGGGCAAATTACCATTAGACTGTCACTCAATGTTCTAAATCAATTGTTACAAAAATTAAGCTTCGACCAAGAATCAAGAAATATCGCCTTGCCAAGAATCAAGAAATTATGCCTCACCCAAGAATCAAGAAATTACGCCTCTCCCAATAATCAAACTAGCAACCTTGGATTAGTTAACTGATGCTCTCCTTTATGAGCTAAGCAAGCAGAATTCAATACAAAATCCTGATCTTTCTAAAAGAATGGTATGAGAATATATTTTTGATTCCTTAGTGACTTAAACCAAGACTGTTTGATTCGAATCCAGAACAAAGGATGCTTATGAAATTTAAAAACAAATCCCATTATAGATATCAGTCACTTGGTGAAGGTACTAATAGAATCTATCATTGGGTTAGATAGAGGATAGGGAAATCCCAACCCGAGGGTGATCGGTTCCATCGGGAACGAGCCTTGGCGAGTTCCCGATGGAACCGATTGCCCGAGGGTTGGGATTTCCTATCCTCTTTCTAAACCCAATGGTTGATTATTTTTCTCACTCACCTGAACACACAAATATCAGTGAATCTACTTGCTACGCCCATTACAACGTACCTAGTTTTGAAAAGGGGGCGGGGCTTAGGCGCCTGACTTTCTATGATTAAAAAGCATTATGTACGTCCGCAAAAAATTCTTCTGACCAAGTTTATGTGTGAAAAATTTAATGAAAATAAATTCATATGAGACCCCTCATGAAAAAGCAAGGTTATCATGATGAAGCACATCGATATTAAAAACGGAAAGTGCCATAATATAAGTGTTAAATAAGGAATTCAGTCCATACTTCAAAAAATTATGGTTGACAAAAAAGCGTTTACCGTTTGCAAAGATTTTTCTAATTTTTCGGTTATTTTGGCCGAATATTCAATTAAAATATATCAAAATGAGATTCGTCATCAAAAAACATCGTTATCTTAACAAAAAACATGAATGTTTTTCAGGCAAAGTGTCATAATATCCGATTTTACGAAGAACGTTTCGATATTTTAAAGTGTGCTATTTTTAGTAACAGATCGTTATTGGAAAGGGCGGACCTAGGTAGAGTAGGACTCAATGCAGTGTGAAAGTTAATATCAATCTATTTTGATTCCGTAGACAATTTAATAGATTAGCTTACAAATTTTTAATACATTTTGACCTTTTGACGTTTAATTTTTGTTAAAATAGGAGTGAATCGCGTATTATTTAGAAGTGCTGCACGTTGAGTGTGAGATAAGCCCATGTGAGATAAGATTTTCCAACACCGCTATTTTTAGTAACATTTAAGGATTTTTCTATCTGGTTAGTGAGAATAAAAGAAACTGTCACCAAGTGTGACAAAATGAAGGACTGTAAGGAAGAAAAACAAAATGGCAATTATATTGAACTGGAAAAATTTTAGAATGATAAAAACACACAAGACACTTATTATTTAAAGGGCTTAATGAACAAGAACAATCAAGTGTATACACCCAAGTTGTACAATTCATTATACGTACATTCTCTGATACTTTGCGCGTTCTTCCCCAGTCACTGACGGCCTCATTTTCTCAACAGCTGCCATCATATGTTCTTGTGTTACCTTGACAACATTCTTCATTTGGAATGGTGACTCAGGTTGGTTATCTACCACAAAATGATCTGAAGCCCTCCTTTCTCTTAACCTAATATGTGACACCTAGAACAAAGAAGATTTATGATTATTGATGATGATGAAGTCTATGCATCATCGGGGTCCATTTGCCCATTCAGGCACTAAGTGCAGCTTTTCCTGTAGGATATGTCACCAGTCATGCCCTAAAAGGATTAATTTTGAAGTGGTGATAATTTACCTCCATGCAATTTCAATGGAAAATTGGCCAGAAATTAATTTGAGCCAAATGGTAGGTCACTGTACAGTGGCCAATGAGTAACCTGAGACAATAGGAAAAGAGCTGTTATGTCAATAAAGGGCCTGCCTTTCAAGGTGTCACTCAATATGTTAGGGGCTCAAGCATACTTGCATACCATTCTCGTTTTCCCTACCTTCTTTGTAGAGCCCAGTGAATTTGAAAAAGAAATACATGTATTCAAACATCAAAATCCTTATTTATTCCTGACGCTAATAAAAACATTTTCTGTCAGAAAACATGAACTAAATGAATTTATTAGCAATATTCAAGTTCTCGTTGAAACCATTAGCCCAAACATGTTGCAAATTATTTTTTATCTCACCTGATTACTTAACCTTTCCTCTACCTCCTGGGTCACCTGGCTCACACCTTCCTCTAAACTAGGTATGTAGGCTAACGTCCCTGATGAAAATGACTTCCTTCTTTCTCTCTGAAAGTATGCATTTATCATTAACTTTTTTTCATTAACTTTGTTCAATCTCAGAAAAAAAAGATTTATCTATGTGATTAACCCAATAACATTTTGTTAAATGGAAAAAATTCTGCCGCTTTGTGTAGAGCATATACATGTACATGTATTAAGAAAAATTCTACTTAATTTAATTATTTGACCTTGATCACCTTCTCCATAAACGTAATTAGTTTCAGGGAAATTGATCTAAAATTCTAAAATTATGCTATGAACAGTTAAGAGTTTCTTTGGAATCTGTGAAAATACAGGCTAATTTGCCCATTAGTGCACCATGATAACTAAATATCATTTTAGAATAGTAACTCATTTTATGGTTTAAACTTACCATTTAAGAAATAAAAGTAACTCTATATGTTATTTTAATCTTCACTTGAAATTCATTAAGCATTAATAAAAATGAATTTAAAACTACACATTCAATATTTCAAAACCAACCTTTGTCTCTAGTTTCAATTGCGTGGTTTTTGATCCACTCTTTAGTTTCGAGGCCAGACCTCTTTTTGGCATCATTCCAAATTTTCCAGTGTCAGTGTCGGAACCATCGGCCACAGCAGACGTAAACTCGTGTATCGCTTCAAGCTGACCATTATACAATAACGCCTTGAAATCAGCACCAGTAAAATCCTCACATTTCTCGGCAAAATATTCAAAGTCTATGTTGTCAGTTAGATTCATTTTGTTGGATAGGGCCTTTAAGATATGTAACCTCTCAATCTATAGGTTAAAAAAAAAAGAATGTGATGTAATCTCTTTTACTATTGGTCGACACATTTAAGTATAAATAATCTCTCATTCTATTGGTTTAGAAAATATATACGATTTAATATACATTTTACTCTATACCTTTCCTGGATAACTAACCAGTTATGACCAATTTCTAATACAGACTACTTGTCCCATATGATTTTTGAGACAAGTGACAATAAGACTCAATGTCAGAGTCAGATCACATGTCACAGAAAAATTACGCCTCGTACGAGGATCACACCAGCCACCCATGGTTTACTTATCCCTACTCTCCTTATTGACACATCAACCTTTATTGAGCTAAGCAAGCAGACACATAAACCTTGATAAAGACATACAGATATATACATGTATATTAAATGTCTGACCTGATTTGGAAGTGGACAATGTAGACATTTGTCGAGTCTACCAGGTCTAAGAAGAGCTGGATCAATCAGGTCTGGTCTACTGGTAGCTGCCAGCACGTACACACCTGATATGATAAACAAATATTAGTTACACTAACAAAATAATTCTTCACTTTCTCTAAAATCAAACTAAAACTAAAATATCAATACTATAAACATTTTTTTTTTTTTTTTGTATTTTATGTTAAAGAGGTGTTTGTTACATTAATCTGAGAAAAACAATCTCTCTTAACCCTAGACCTGCTAAATTCCTAAAATGGATTTGTCTTGTTTTGAATTTGGAACAGTCTATTCGATGTAAAAGGGATTTCAATATCAAAATACATGAATTAAACTACCAAAAGTATAGAGCCTGGTCAGACTGCACAGATTTCAGATTTGTATGGTTCTATAATGTTACACAACTTTAAATTTATAATTCTAAGCCTCAAGTAGGAACTGAATCTACATCTACATCAGCTGATCATGGTCTGCACTGTTTACTATTTTACCAGTTAACATTTGGCAATAAAAGTATAAGCTAAAAATAATGAGTTGTTTCCCCTTGAGCAAAAAACGGACAAGATCACTTAAGATATATAGTGTAGTATAAGGATAAAAAATGAGTTGTTTCCCCTTGAGCAAAAAACGGACAAGTCCATTTAAGATATATAGTGTAGTATAAGGATAAAAAATGAGTTGTTTCCCCTTGAGCAAAAAATGGACAAGTCCATTTAAGATATATAGTGTAGTATAAGGATAAAAAATGAGTTGTTTCCCCTTGAGCAAAAAACGGACAAGTCCACTTAAGATATATAGTGTAGTATAAGGATAAAAAATGAGTTGTTTCCCCTTGAGCGAAAAATGGACAAGTCCATTTAAGATATATAGTGTAGTATAAGGATAAAAAATGAGTTGTTTCCCCTTGAGCAAAAAAACGGACAAGACCACTTAAGATATATATAGTGTAGTATAAGGATAAAAAATGAGTTGCTTCCCCTTGAGCAAAAAATGAACAAGTTCATTTAAGATATATATAGTGTAGTATAAGGATAAAAAATGAGTTGTTTCCCCTTGAGCAAAAACTGGACAAGTCCATTTAAGATATATAGTGTAGTATAAGGATAAAAAATGAGTTGTTTCCCCTTGAGCAAAAAATGGACAAGTCCATTTAAGATATATAGTGTAGTATAAGGATAAAAAATGAGTTGTTTCCCCTTGAGCAAAAAATGGACAAGTCCATTTAAGATATATAGTGTAGTATAAGGATAAAAAATGAGTTGTTTCCCCTTGAGCAAAAAATGGACAAGTCCATTTAAGATATAATTATAGTGTAGTATAAGGAATATTGGACCTACCATCCAGACCTTCTACACCATCTAACTGTGTGAGTAACTGGTTAACCACCCTGTCTGTTACACCTGTGTTATCATGACCTCTCCTGTAGTTATAATAAACACTGTTATTTTTATATCTACATGTATGTGGTGGTTAATTTAAAACAATAAATAAATAAAAAATATATACCCAACAAAATCTGATCTTCAATTTTCAGACAGTGAATTATAAATCTTATGAATATATAGATGACAGAAGGTTGGTCAGGTAATATAATAAAGACTGGTCAGTGGACACATAATGCTTCTAAGGCCAACTTTGAAATATTTTTTGTTTCCCCTCCCACGACCCATGCCAGTTTGGGTAGAGTAGGTAGGTAGGTGGGTAGGGTAGGGTGTTGGGGGGGGGGGAGCTTAGGGTAGGGTTAGGGTAGGTAGGGAAATAATTTTTTTCGTTTTCCATAATATCTTTGTTTGTTGAACATTTATTTTTTATTTATATGGATATCAAAAATTGTGTAACATGTACCTTTTGATGAGTTTAGAGTTTATATAGAACCAAAGTTTTAAAGTTTTAATATATTTACATGAGACAGACATAGATATATAAATATGTGACTCAGCTTCAATATTTAGTGGGAAAGAAAGTATGTTTGGCGATAAAATTGTCAAAGCAGTGACTTTTGTAGGTGTATGTAGGTAGTGGGAGGGGAAACAAACAATATTTTCTTTTAGGCCCAAATTTGTGGCAACTCAAATTCCAACCATTTAAGTGTGTAATTCTAATTTCAACCATGTATGATTTGTTTGTTTGTTTCATTATACACCTTTTCCCAACAGTATTTCAGTCACGTAGGCAGGTAGTTTCCTAACCATTGTTCCTGAAGAGTTACACCAGTACTAGACTACCTTCCTCCATGCTAAACTACCAAAGCATCTCCCGGGGATCATATACATTTATTTTTATAAAAGACTAAAACAGCAAATTATCAGTTATTCATGCAACTGCAACGTTTTTTAATTATTTTTGCTTTCTCATGATTTCTACCACCTGATAAAATATAACGCAAAATAACATAAAAGTTCAGATATTTTTCAGGTTTGAATATTTACTAAAATCATCCATGGATTTAATCCTATTTGTTTAATACCGTGATTTATTATCAACATGATAATATCAATTTGATAAGAACAGCTTTCAAACCTTTATGATCTCATTTGGATATTCAAATACATTAAACTTAAATATTTATGTAAAGTTCAAGTTGTTCAAATCATTCAGATTCTTATCACTTGTATTACTATATGGACATTCAGTCAAAACTATTAAAACTGTAACGGAAACTTAAAAGGAATTTTTTATGTTGTTTACAAACCAAAGTTCAAGTGATCACATGAAGTCAAAATGTATATATTCTTAAATCATTACATCATGGCATTTTTTTTAAGTCTATAAATAGAATAATCACTTGAAACAACATAAAAATTTTAATGTCTTCATTATTTTGTTCCAGGCTGTATTCCTACACACCTGTGAACTTTTTCTTATTTTAAATTATTACATCATGGTATTTTTTTTTTGTAATAAGTCTTTAAATAGAATTGTTTCATCTAAAAATAGAATATAGAGCATGGCCATAGAAAAAACATCCTAACCACAAGATGCTATGATATCAATTTTTTTTCCCCATCTGATTATTATAAATAGACAAGTTTTAAAATAGATTTAGAAACATTTTTATGACATGTCTACCAAAAATATTTTGCAAATTCACACCAGGAATACCTTTAAAAATACCTTAAAATATGTGACCTGTACACAGGAGTGTTACTTTTTACCTGTGAAATTTACATATAGTTAAATCAGGAAGTTAACACCATTATTGTAAACTTGTGGTCCTATTTCAAAATACGCATAGTAACAAAACTAAATTTATCTCAGATCCTAAAAAAATAATAATATTAGGTTCTCAACAAACACTTTTTCAAATTGTATAATATACTGGGCAGGAACCAGTTTCCGGACAGAATTCGAGTTTTTTTAATTGTCTTATTTTTTCATAATAAACATGCATTAATAAAACTATCATATCAAAAACCTGAGTTCTAACTACTTCCGATAACACAATTAATACTGCCTGGTGATGTAAGCAATGTACAAACTGAAGGGTTAAATTAGGTCATCAAAAGTGTAAATTGTTCACTCTTGCAGAACCAGTTTCCGGACATATATTAAGCTGCTATTCATATCTGTTTTTAACTGATAATTATTCTAATAAAACAAAAAAATTCTTCTCACATATTAGCTTTCTTATATAATTAAGCTGATTTACTGAAAAATGTTTATGATAGGATAAATAACAATCACGTGATGGGTCTCGGAATGACTGAAAAGTGAAACGGATATTTTTGTGATTACGGCAGCAACGAAGTGCGAAAGTGGAGTAAACCTAGCTAAACACCGTTTTCCGATATGTTACAGATTTAGCTCTGGGGATTACACCCAATGAACTTTCGAATGAAGTACATTGTGCATTAATTGCTACCCCAAATTATATCCCGAAATAAACAAAATATTGCGCATGCGCAGAACAATTTACATGCCCCAAAGGGATATAAGGCTGTTTTTAAAACACAGGTAAGATATCCTCACGGAATTTTAATGATGTATCAACTTGGAAGGAAGTTTATTTTCTCAAACAATCAAACCAAGCATCTTCATGACATATAATACCGATCGTCATCGATAAAGCCAAAATTAAGCCGTTATAATACTTGTCCGGAAACTGGTTCCTGCCCAGTATGCTAAAAATATAAAAATAAAATTTGATAGGCTTTACAAAGCAGGCAAAAAAACTAATTATCCATTCATAATAAAATTCATCTACTGGCATAAACCATTTCACTTCCTACAGGACGGATATACCTGTCCCACTCACAGGTCACCTGGCTGTCTATTTAAGGTAGTCTTACTACATTGCTTTCCAAAAACTTTCATATCGTAATAAATTGGTCATTTTCTTCACAATCTAAAGTATTCAATACTTATTCGCTGTTTATAACCGGAAGTTAGTACATAGCAATAAAGATGGAGTGATTGAAAAAATGACATTCTGGAAATAACCGATTTTGTACGATACTGGCCGATGTAACAATTTTTGGACAGGAAAGCATTACAGTAAGGCTACTGATATACCCAGTACTGGAATATGAAATGTTTTATTTGATTTCCTGATGTTGTATGGTATTATGTTGTCACATTTTCAGTGTGAAGTTGAATTAAAATCATTTTTATCTGAACTTTATTCATCATTTTCTATAAATATACATTAATTTATAGGATTTAGGTCAACACTTAGGCCATATCTGTAATTTCAAGCCCTGGAAAGTACATAGGAATTTTTAATTCAAAGCTAATGGGATGTTTTAGGGAATTTAAACTGACCTATGAAAATTGATTTTTTTAATACTTTGGATTTCCACACAATATACTGGTCAGGGACCATCAACCGGACACTTTTTGAACATTTTTCTATACAAATTTCATAATTTTAAAGCTAGAGGTACGAAAATTTGACACAGTACAGCTAGGTTCTTCTCCTAACTAACAAACTAGTTTGTTTAGTTCTGATTTTGTTGACACTTATATCCGAGGCCCGTCAAGGAGGGTATCAAAATTACCTAAATTGTACATACTACAGTACCATGTGTCCGGACAGATATGTAATAACGTTGATTTAATTCAGATAAAAGCTTTGGTGTTCTTTTTTTTATTTTTAACATGACACACAATATTTCAGCAGCAAATGCTGAAGTTTTGAATATTCTATTGTTACTTTGCAAATAATTATTGCTGTTATATGAGGTCAGGCATTGCTTTCTTGACCCCCAAATTTCAACGTCAACATTCTTGAAATAGACATTAAAATATTACCATTTACGAAGGTTGAAATAAATTTATTTAATTAATTATAGAAGAAACATGCATTTATTGTTGATAAAAAAGTGACTGACAACCAATGAACAAAGAAAATTCTAAATCAAGCATTTTCGGGGCCGTCCGGGTTTGGTGGTTGTCCGGTTTTGGTGGTCCCCAACCAGTATATTCTGTATTTTTTTATTTATTTATTTATTTTTTTTTTTAATTTTTCTACCAATATTCCAATCTCCACCATGACAAGTAATATAAATCCATAAATATGTGTGTAAATTCTAGATGAATAAACAACTTTGTACTTATAAAATATTGTAAACTGTTCTGGTATCATAAACTTATGCATAGAAATATATGAAAAAATCAAAAATCTTTTTCTTTCTTCTAAATTCAATAGTGCCCCATCTAACATGAAACAGTTGGGTGTGATACCTTTTTTATTGTGTCCTTTAGTTGGCAAGTTGCCCACTATTGAAGTTACACTCAAGCACACATAAACATATTTATCATAGTATTGTAGTAAATTCTATACTACATGTAGTTAAATTATTACTTTATAAACCATACATTATACTGAAATATTATCTACCACTGATAAAATTTGAATTTTGATAGAAATCATACAAAATCCCCTAAATTGAAAGAATGAGGTAATCATAAATAAATCATTTATGATAAACTGGGTAGGGCATTCATAAATAAATTTACTAAACCTACTACAAATTGCAGCTGAATATTTAATAAGGGAATGTTTTATTCAGTTTTCTTAAAATATATTCAGAGGCTTTTTAGAAACTGAAGGCAAAAAAATATATGAGCCGCGTCATGACAAAACCAACATAATGGGTTTGCAACCAGCATGGATCCAGACCAGCCTGCACATCCGCGCAGTCTGATCAAGATCCATGCTGTTTGCTTACAAACACTATAACAAGTAGAGAAACTGATAGCGAACAGCATGGATCCTGATTAGACTGCGTGGATGCGCAGGCCTGTGTGGATCCATGCTGGTCGCAAACCCATTATGTTGGTTTTGTCATGATGAGGCTCATATATGATTTAAATGTTTTTTTACTTTCCTGGTAAAAAAACTGTAGGCCTGACAGCCTACACAGCATAAAGGAAGCTATATCATTAAAGCAGGGTTAATGTAATAATTAAATTCATATTTTACCTTGGAGCTATAGAATCAAACTCATCAAAAAACAAGATACATGGCTTAGCACTCTGAGCTCTGAAAAATAAAAAAAAACTCATTAATATTTAGAGAGAAGATAATTATATACAATACGCTCCTACAGAATTTTTATTTTCATAACTGGTTCCACATCTACTGATCAATTATCTTTATAACAGTGTGGAACAGTCTTTACACCTACACTGCCTAAAACTCAAATCAGCATAAATTGTATGTTTTATTTTGCTGCCAAAGATAGATTGTAATGTTATGATACTTATGATCTCACATACGTTATATGCTGTTATTTTTTCTGATAACACGTTTTTAATATTTAATAAATAAATAAATATTAAATGTTGGAACAATTTATGTTTTTTTAATGAAATTCTTGACATCAAGTGAAAAATGATAATATTGATATTTGATTATACAGCAACAAGTATGTCAAGACAAAAAGAAATTCCCATTAACATAAAACTGATATTCCTATAGAATATTGCTTAAACTAATTTTGATACTTCATGGTTGAAAATATAAATGTATATGTATATGGTAAAAGTTTGTTGGTTTTGTTGTTGTTGTTTTTTGGTAGGGTTTTTTATAAACAGCCTACTCAGCGGAAGTCATATGGCTCATGTGAATTATTTAACAAACCTGTTATTGTAAGAAAAATTTTGATTCAGAATTCAGAACCTTGTAGATACTGACAGGCCTGATCCCACACAGCTACAAGTGTAATCCTAACCTACCTAAATCCAGCATAATACATGTCCAAAAGCAAAATAGTCTCTCAACAACCCTTTTGTAACAAAATGGAAAGGTCTTGAGTCTTATTCATATGTCACAAGTAACAAAGACTCATATGTTACAAGGAACATATGAACACTATTTACAACATGTAAAATGTCAAAAAATTTCTGTAATAATTAAACAACAAAATACATAATATATTTTAAAATATATATAACTTACCCAAAAAAGTTCCCTCAACGTTTTACTAACCCATATTTTTCAGTACTTTTGGCCCCTTAAAGCTAATAAAATTAGACCATCCTTGAAAAAACGCCTGCCCCGAAAGTTTTACCCCGGGCCCCGGGGCTCCGAATAACAACCCGGATCTCGTCGTAAAGGACAGTTTAAAAAAATGTGGGTACTGAAAAACACAAAAAAATTCAACATGTTTCTTAACATACCCAATACTAAAAAAAACCTGTTTTTTTAAAATTTTTTTTATAAATCAACAAAATGATTTTTAAAAAACACAATTCATTTTTAAAAAATGAAAAAAAATGATCTCAAACAAAAAATTGTGCTACATGGATTAAGTGAATTTTTTTAACCCAGTATAAAATGTAAATCTTGTCTAATATGCAAGAAAATTTTATGCCCCACTAACTCCATTCCTGACCAACCAAATCAGAATAAGACTTACCTTTGTTGGCCATTGAAGTGTCTCAATCAATGTCTCTTTGACATCAGTCAGACCTCCTATGTCAGACCATCCTAACTCCCCCGCTTCATGTAATGGAACATTTCTGATTGACGCTGGGGTGAACCCACTCAAAGCCTCCTCAAAATCGTGCTGTGTGAGGTCAAGCTCTAAATCGTCTTGGACAGCTATGAGAAGAAATCTTTCTTAGGTGAGTGTAAGTCATAAAAAACATAAGTTTATCATTTATTTAAAGGGAGACCCAGGCAAAATTTTTATTTCTTTGTTTTGAATTTTTCTTTCATTTTTTGTAGATGTCCTAAAAATGAACACTAGACAGTCAGAGAAAACTGTTCTCCTTATAAAGAATAAAGTGGTGGTTTCCTAACTTGACCCACGTGGGTCAGGTTAGAGCGTTAAGATTTCACAAAAGTTGTCACAGTGAACTCTGGAAACGTTAAAGATCATGTCAAATGAATGTCTGAGACTTGATTCAATCATACAATATTCACAATTTCTGTTATTGTAACTTCCAGGTTCTTTTCCAAGTCACATGACTTGTTTTTAAACTACTTGGTGATTCTGTCGGCGTCTAAATTTTGTTCAACATAGATATACTTACGCTTAAAACCCAATATGTATAGAATTTGAACAGAAATCCATGCTGGGACTTTAAAAAATGTCATTTTAGGGTGATTTAAGGACATATCTCATTTTAATATTTTTGTCATTATTTGCCTTAGTATCCCTTTAAGTTCACCAATGAAAATGTACTTATCTTTGTCTTAGACAGTAAAAGTATCAAAGCTTCAGTATATGATTAAATATTAACAAGCAATTATCATAGTATTGCAAGCAATCCATAAGTCCCCTACCGGTTAGAACCCCATCAACATTCTGAAGGACCATTCACTAATGTTTCAATTTTTCTCTATTTTAAAGTAAAATTTGTTGGAAAGTTCTTAAAAGTGATCACAGGAAACAGTTTTTTATGAACAGACAGACAGACGGACTGAAGGGACACTCTAAAGTTTAATATTTGAAACATCCCTGTTACCAAAAAATAACATTTTAAAAGCAAAATTCTTAAACAGGAGATAACTCTTGAATTAAAGATGCAATTTCATAAAAATTTTCAGCTCTTTTTGACTAATCAAATATTGTTATATTTGCCATGTTTTTAAAGCCTATTTGTTGCCAAAGGCAACTGATATTTTTTCAAAATAGGAAGAACAGATAAGAATGCATAAATCTCAGAGACTGCCATCTACCCATATGTCAAGTTTCATAAAAAAATATTTCCAGTACTTTTGAGTTATCACTGGGATTCAGTTTATGTGTAAAAATTTGCCATATTTTCAGTCTATGTGTTGCCATAGAAAAATAGAATTTTCAAAATAGGAAGAAAAGAAAAGACGTGCATAATCTCAAGACTGCCATCTACCCATATGTTAAGTTTCATAAAAATATTTCAGTACTTTTTGCGTTATCACTGGATCCAGTTTATGTGTAAAAAATTTGCCATATTTTCAGCCTATTTGTTGCCATAAGCAACAGAAATTTTCAACATAGGAAGAAAAGAAAAAGACGTGCATAATCTCAAGACTGCCATCTACCCATATGTTAAGTTTCATAAAAAATATTTCCATTACTTTTTGCGTTATCACTGGGATCCAGTTTATGTGTAAAATTTGCCATATTTTTCAGCCTATTTGGTTGCCATAGCAACCAGAATTTTCAACATAGGAAGAAAAGAAAAAGACGTGCATAATCTCCATACTGCCATCTATCCATACACCAAGTTTCATAAAAATATTTTCAGTACTTTTCAAGTTATCGCGGGATCCAGTTTTGTGGACGGACGGACTGACGGACTGACAGACGGACGTACCAAAATTTGATGTTTATGAGGCAAATGAGCTCATAAACACCACCTGGACCAACGTCCATAAGCAAAATAAGCTCATAAAAACAAAAAAAAACTCTTAATTTTAAATTTTATGAGTTTATGTTCTTTATTTAACTACGGAATGAAGCTCATAATAATCAAATGTTGGCTCGGACAGACGGACGGACAGACGGACGGAGGGTAAACCTAAAGTCCCCTCCGGTAAACCGGTAGGGGACTAAAAAGACTGAATCTATATTGTACATTATAATAGTCAGTATATTAGTATTATTCATATAAATGAAGTATATAGCCTTCAATGTATCAGTTTCTAATTATAAAGTCAAACTCTCACCTCTTCCCTGTTTGAGTATGTGCGCATGCACAGCTCGGCTGATAATGTGTTCCAAGTCTCGCGCCACATACCCCTCGGTGCGCTGCCCAAGATTATCCAGGTCTAGTTTATCTAAAGCTTCCCCTGTTACCATGGATTTACTTTTCATTATTGTGTGAAGGATTTCTTTTCTCTCATTCTGTAAGGGCAAATAATTTTAAAGTGAGAAAGAAGCAAAAAAAATTATTTTTTTTTTCATTCAATAGCTGCTTGTTTTATATCTCATTAAAGATATATTATGCTTAATTTTAATATTTGAAAATATATATTATATCAAACTCATTATTTGAATAGGCTCTTCACAGACAATTAAAAAAATCCAATAATCCCTGTTGACCACAATTATACTTAAACTATACTTAAATTAAATGTACTGTCTGATATGTTTTCAATATCTATTTTTCTAGATTACATTTTATATGTGATATCATACATAATCAAGCAACACGCAACAAATTTAAGAGCATATGCATAGACTGCCAGTCCATACAAAAGAAACCATGCTTAAAAGTTTTTTTTATCTTTTATCTAAAATAAATTGTAAAAGCTTAATACTCAAGGATTTCTCTTCAGATTTTGTAAAGAATATTTCCAAGAGTGGTAAAGGATGATCTCTGTTTTATAAAAATAAAACATGCCCACGAGCAGAATGTCGAGCCTGCTTGTCTTAATTCAAACTTGAACCTATAAGCTTCAGATCAAGGAGGAAGATGTATACATAGGTGAGATGTGGCCAACACATCCTTTTTATAACCATGGCAAAATCTTGACAGTGCATCATCTTAGGTGACCTTGACCTCTGACCTGGTTCATGTCCATGACAGGAAGAAGTTATGGCATGGACAAGTTTAGATGCACTTAGCACACACAAACTAAACAGCCATATTGACAACTATGTTGAGCTCAACACAAATTCTACAAAAAATGGAAAATGGACTCTCCTACAAACCTTATTTGGAGGCTTGATTGTCATAACTTCCTGTACAAGATGCGTTCCCCTTGACGACACTAAGATAGGATGTAACGTTGAACGTGATTGGCTGGTTGCTAACACTGCTATATTACTCATGTTCCTGATGTCTTTTCTTAAAAGATCCTTCAACACTAAAAAGTATAATGAAACACATGAAGTATGTTAAAGAAACCAACTTTAAATATATTCCCATTGTGCCAACTACAACCTTATACTTGAAGATAGTGAACCAAACACATAACAATTGCCAAATATGCAAAGAAAGGAACTCCAGCAGTATATTATTGTGAATTCTTATGAATAATTTTATTTCTTTATGTTCAAAAGAAAACTAACAATATACTAAATAGAAATTGTTCACAAATTCATGCATTTATACAGAATATATCCACCTACAGCATACACATAAATTAAGATAGACATGACATCGGTTACAAAAATGCTTCGACTTGTTTTCAGCAAGTTAAATCAAATAATCTGTCCATTAAAATACAAGTGATAAGCAACTTACCCTCTGCAACCCTGGCCGAGTACAAGGCCTCTCCTGTCATTTCAAACTCCGGTCCTGACGGAGCCCCACACAAGTGGTCAAGGTCATCAAGGAATATAAGAGATGGTTGTCGCCAGGCAGCCTCGTCAAATATCAACTCAAACACCTTCTGTATAGTCTCTACCTTCTTCCCTGTCACATGTAGAAAACAAATGTAACCATGCCGGGAAAAAAAGTAAGGGAGTTGACATAAAAATTATGTGTGAATTATTAAGTTTAATTTCTTTTATATGAAATCAACTTTTTAAGGTATTTATTTATGAACCTACGCACATGTAATATTATACTTATCATATACCCAAAATAAAGACTGTTTAAAATGAAAAAAGAATAATTTTTCATTGACACGCTTATAGTGTAATGCTAACATTTAGCGCCGTCTTTCCACTATAACTTTATTATAACGCAAATGATATCACATCAAAATATATGTACGGCGGTGCAATACCTATTTTTACGGAGATGCAAAAGCGGCACAGTTATGTGATAAAGATGCATTCTGAATTTTTGATATGTGATAAATAATTCACTGACAGCTTAACTTATTAAGGGTTACCAGACATGTCAGTCAGTACATTATAATTTCAAGGAATCAATGGGCAACATAACTGAACGGAGCACTTATCACAAGCATAATAGGAAGTCTCCTCTTATAAAACATTGTGTGGTTCTTTATTTAATTAAGTATTTTATAATAATAAATAAGCTTATAATTCATAAATATGTACAGCAATTATAATTGTGTTGTATTTTTATATCAATCATTTAATATCATTAGTACATAGTACATTTAGAACTATTTAACATACAAACATTCTACTGTAAAATTCCTATTAAACGCCCTCGGGGGCTAAACATTTTCCAAAAGTGGGGCTATTATTACAACACTTTTTTCCTAAATCCAAAAATCATTGAAAATACATTTAGTGTAACATGGGTTGGTAATAACATTAAAATGTGTTAAGATTTTAAAGTTCATGTGATACATTTTTGTGTTTACTATGACATAAAGTAGATTCTGAAGGATTTGAATAAAATTACGGATTTATTAAAAGAGTTCACACTCATGAGCAGATTTTTTTCCATATCAAAACCCTGGGGGGGGGGGGGGGGGGCTTTTATTAGGGAGGGGCGTTTATTAGGAATTTTACGGTATATCCAATTAAGACATATTTTTGACTTTAAAAAAATGTAAGCAATCTAATTTTATACTTCAATTAATACTGAAACTGAAATAAAACAGTTTAGAGAATTTTTATTTAAAGGTTTAAAAGGAAGTACTGACCTTAACTTAACCTTTATCACAGTTTTTAATTAAAGGTTTAAAAGGAAGTACTGACCTTAACTTAACCTTTATCACAGTTTTTAATTAAAGGTTTAAAAGGAAGTACTGACCTTAACTTAACCTTTATCACAGTCAATTTGTGAAAATTTTAAATTTTTATGGTTTATTGTTACTTTTTGAGGACTTTACTATCAAAAAGCTTCAAAAAGTATATAATTTACCTCTCAGTGGTTTGCAGTCTATTGCATTGGTGTACGCTAAGTTGGGTAACTCTGTCATTTTCTTGCACAAAGCCTTTGCAAGAGTTGTCTTCCCACTTCCCTTTGGTCCAGTAAGTAAGAGCATGCCATTGAGTAAACCAGGGGTGGTCAGGAAGATGTCTTTATACAGTCTCCGAGAACACAGGCATATTTCTATATTTGAGATGGCTGTTTCTATAAGCTCTGACATACCCCTGCCAATAAATGGGACTGATGAGAAAAAACATTCAAGGAACCACGTAAGGCCAAGAAAAGTTCTGTTTCTGGTCTTGGCCCTCCAAAATAAAAATAAGTAACAAGGTAGGAAGACATTTTTTTTCATATATTTTTGTATATATAATGACACATATATATATATACTGAATATCGTATTGTTAAGAAAAGATTGTAAAAGACTAAAAAACATTATCAAGTCTTTGATCAGCAGTTAGATAAAAAGTAGGGAGATCATAAACATTACTCTTTTTTTTAGCTCTAGTAATACATTTATAGTAGGAATTTCATATTAAGTCTGTTTTGATCATATATGGACTTACAAGCTTAAAGCAAAACTAATTAGGTAAATTCTTCACATTAAAGAGAAATTGCAATATCCAAATAATACAATTGAGCAATATAGACAGTTAAGCATGTATTGAAAAGTAGTCTGGCCGGGACCTATTCCGGTGGTATTAGCCCCATGAGGAGAGTTCAAGGTATCTTACCTAAAATTATCATACCTTTATAATGCATTTCATTGACTGTTACATTTCTTTCTCTAAATTTATCTTATTTCTTATATCCTTTAAAAAATCCACAAAACAACAATAATAAAATAATTATGAAAATAAAGCATTACCCTACAGAGCTGAGGTCAGTATTTGGTACTGGAGGGTCAAAACTGGCTAAACTGTTGTATGCTAACATTGGCTGAACTACTGGGTGAGTAAGGTCAGTGGCTCGACACCCACTAACGACAGTGAGCGTACAATTACGTAGCGTTCCTGGATGCAGCATTGTATAACAACCTTTACTCAGACGGTCGGCATCTTTGTATGTAAGCTGACATTCAACATGTATATCTAAAATATAAAATCAAACATACTATATCACAAAACATCTCATAAAATACGACTTTTACTTTTAATACTGTGACAATTTGTAACAATAAATTGATAATTGACAGAAGTTCAATACAGTCAGGTGTAAGACACAAATTTCATACAATTTGCTTATCCACATGGTATAAAATTAAAATTGGATCGGTCCACATTATAATCACACTTTTTTTTAAAGTATTTCAAATATTGATAAAAACAATAGACATATATCATTTTGCTACTTTAATGACAAATAATTTCACATACAGTGCTAATTTCTTCAAGTAATAAGCATTTAACATCCATTACAACAGTTTTACCATAACACTCCTTTTCTGTCATTTTTTAAAGAAAGAAAAATATTTCTGGGCATAATGTGCCGTTCAGCTCCAATTTTAAAGCAGGATAAATACATCATATTAATTCAATACAGGAAAGGTAAAATCTGATTTTTTAACGGCGCAAAAACTAGTTAAACAGGCACATGCTTTAACATCTAGCCATATACTCTAAATAAACAAATGCAGAATTCTGATTAGTGACAGCACCACACAGGCCAAAAAGAAAATATATGTACAAGTTGTAAAAGTTATGGTACAAACTATGAAATGTTTACCTTGGAAGACCTTGAATCTGAGAAATATGCCCTGAAACACAACCATAGGATATTCCTCTACACTTATCTGACCTAACCAAGTCCTGAACGCAAGGCTCAGCATGTCACTTGTTGCCCTGTTTGGCTGGAAAAACAACAAACATTTTTTTACACAAGTTATCTTTCACTTGTTGCCTAGTTTGGTTGAAAAACAAACAAACATTTTTACACAAGTTATCTTTCACTTGTTGCCTTGTTTGGTTGAAAAACATTATTTATTTTTTACACAAGTTATCTTTTCACTTGTTGCCTTGTTTGGTTGAAAAACAAACAAACATTTTTTTAAACAAGTTATCTTCACTTGTTGCCTTGTTTGGTTGAAAAACAAACAAACATTTTTTTAAACAAGTTATCTTTCACTTGTTGCCTTGCTTGGTTGAAAAACAAACAAACATTTTTTTACACAAGTTCTCTTTCACTTGTTGCCTTGTTTTGTTGAAAAACAATCAAACATTTTTTTACACAAGTCATCTTTCACTTGTTGCCTCGTTTGGTTGAAAAACAAACACATTTTTTTTCCACAAGTTATCTTTCACTTGTTGCCTTGTTTGGTTGTAAAACAAACAATGTTTTTTTTAAACAAGTTATCTTTCACTTGTTGCCTTGTTTGGTTGAAAAACAAACAAACATTTTTTTAAACAAGTTATCTTTCACTTGTTGCCTTGCTTGGTTGAAAAACAAACAAACATTTTTTTACACACAAGTTCTCTTTCACTTGTTGCCTTGTTTTGTTGAAAAACAATCAAACATTTTTTACACAAGTCATCTTTCACTTGTTGCCTGTCGTTTGGTTGAAAAACAAACACATTTTTTTTCCACAAGTTATCTTTCACTTGTTGCCTTGTTTGGTTGTAAAACAAACAATGTTTTTTTTAAACAAGTTATCTTTCACTTGTTGCCTTGTTTGGTTGAAAAACAAACAAACATTTTTTTAAACAAGTTATCTTTCACTTGTTGCCTTGCTTGGTTGAAAAACAAACAAACATTTTTTTACACAAGTTCTCTTTCACTTGTTGCCTTGTTTTGTTGAAAAACAATCAAACATTTTTTTACACAAGTCATCTTTCACTTGTTGCCTCGTTTGGTTGAAAAACAAACACATTTTTTTTCCACAAGTTATCTTTCACTTGTTGCCTTGTTTGGTTGTAAAACAAACAATTTTTTTTTAAAACAAGTTATCTTTCACTTGTTGCCTTGTTTGGTTGAAAAACAAACAAACATTTTTTTTACACAAGTTATCTTTCACTTGTTGCCTTGTTTTGTTGAAAAACAAACAAACATTTTTTTACACAAGTTATCTTTAAAGTCAGTTGGTTTTGGCTCTTAACAATTTTTTCTTTGGAATTAACATTATTCCTGATGAAACAGGGCTCAACTTATAACAATAATTTAATTTCCTAAATGAACTTCATGAAAAGTCAAGCACTTTTGAATCAAACATAATAATGGAAAATTGAGGAGTTTGCTAGATTTTAGCCTATCCTGTATCAATCAATCTTTTATATAAGTACAATGCTCAACTTTATGGTAATGTTGAAATACCATATGTACATAAAATTACCATAAGATTAGTTTTAACATATTTATTAAAGCTCGATTGCGCAACTAGCTCTTGCAACTCATATTAATCACTTTCGAGTACACTTCCTGGAACCAACCAGTACTGGTGTCATCATAATTATGAAGAAACATGGTTGTGACCATAGTCAGGTTCGAACCCATGATCCCTGGATTGAGAGGCAGACACCTTAACCACTAGGTCACCGCTCCCCTTTTTTAGTATGACTGATAACAAGTTAAAAGTCTATGGTATTATGCAATATGTATAATACATGTATATTATCCTTTTGAAATTATTATGTCAAATACATATACAAATTCTTACCACATTTCCGAGTGGATACAAGGAAAATGCTGCAGCAGGAGACGGATTGACTCGTAGTGTCTGTATCCATACCCTACTACTGAAATCTAGTTTCAAATATCGTCTTAACATATCTGGTACTATCACGTGACCTTTTACCAAAGGTTGCTCCGATAACACTCTCTTTACAATCGGAGAAAAGTGATCGTTACACAGTTGACGTCTTCGATCAATCACCACAACACGAACAACACAGTGGTATTCATTTTCCTTATTTGTTTCTGTGGCAACAGGTTGGGATTCCGGAGTCTCTGAATGAGGTGACGCTTTGTCCTTGACCTCATTATCGTTCTTGTTTGGTTTTCGTATACTCTGTTTGCCTATGCCAGAACTTTGACCTAATTTCTCTTGATTAAGCTGTATGTCCTTTGGTGATTCTAACTTTCTCAATTTAGCATAAAAAACATTCGGAATTTCTGACCTATTACATTTCAATTGCTTTTCAACATCTGATTTGTCCATGTAAATAGTGCTAGGCTGTTGGGGAAAATAATTTAACTTGAAATTGGATTTAGGCTGTGACTGACTTCTGCTAGACTTTGACGGTGACTCGCGACTTTGTTTCCTAGGTGATGAACTACCATTTTTACGCGGTGATCCACTCCCGCGTCGGTGAAATCCACCTCCGGTCCAATCTGGAGAGTTATCGTCACTACTGTTGATAGAGTATTTCAAATATTGCACACGTAGCACTAAATTCAGCCCCATTTGTAACTGAACTTCTTTTTGCTCGATCGAGTCGGCTTCATCCTCGTAGTCATCATCTTCATCATCCGATGGGATGACCCTACTCTCGATACGTGACCGAAACCCGAGGTACGAGAACAGATTTTTCCATTGACTAGAAATACTATCATAAGGTGACTTTTCTCTAACTTTTCTATCTGCCCCTTTGTTAAAACCTAAATAATCTGAAAATAAGAAAAAACAAGCTGCTTTTTTTTTTTTTGGCTAAACTCAAATAATATCCAAAGTAATACATGTACATGCTAAAATCAGCAGGGGGTACGTTGGTATTTTTCCAAAATCATTTGATCAAACTTCATACAAAAAGCCAGGTTAGAACAAGGTATATATTATAGCTTACATGGAACATAATCAGAAATCACTTGCAGTCCTGATTCAAACCCACAGTAATGAAAGGTATGTATCTGGACTTGAATCACATAGGGCCAAAGGCTCACATAAAAATTAATGTGTGCAGTCTGATCAGGATCCATGCTGTTCGCTATCAGTTTCTCTACTTGTTATTGGTTTTGAAAGCGAACAGCATGGATCCTGATCAGACTGCGCGGATGGGCAGGCTGGTCTGGATCCATGCTGGTCACAAACCCATTATGTTGGTTTTGTCATGACACAGCTCATATCTCTTTTACATGATGGTAATCTTACCTTTATCACTTATATCAGAATCTGTTGATTTAAATTTTGTATCAAAATTGGCATCCTCATATTGGCTAGGCATAAATGGCACTTCTTGTGTTTTTGAACTGGACCGTTTGATTAGTGGCTCTATAGGTTGACCAATCGCAGAATTCCTTACTTTAGGTGACACTAAAACCTCAGTTTCATTAACCAATAAAACACAGTCTGCTTCAGGATCAGTAGCACCTGTTGAAAAATTATAATTTACCATACAAAATATGTACACCAATGTTTGAATTCTTATATTCATGAAACGATAGGCAAACAAAATTAGATAGGCAAGTTTGATGAAGATTCAATTTTTAAATCTGACAGCTTCATGGCATAAACCATGAAATTAAATTAAACTATGAGACAAAACTGCTTTGTAATAAAAAACAAAAGTAACATAAAAGATGTAAATTGTAACAAGCTTAAAGAACAAAATAATAAGGTTAAAAGTAGTTCTTTCTTATAAGGGCAGAGTCATGAAAATAACAAGTTACAGTAACTGAGACTGTAATATTATCATGGTGTGACTTTCTAACTAATACAGGTGAAGAAAGGCTGCTGTTACAACTCCCTGCAATAATTTAGAAACCAAGATACAAGTAAAACCACAAACCTTCACCGAGATCAAATTTGAAAATTTTTGAATGGAAAGTCACTTGTTGCCATGAAAAGTTGGCAGTTGCTATGGAGATAAATGGTTGCAATGGTTGCTATAGAAAGTCAATGTTTGCCATGGAAAGTCAATGGCTGATATGGCAAGTCACAAATTTTTACAATATTTCTATTTCATCAAGATAATGATTAAACTTACCAAGATAACAATTTAACTTACCAATTTTAATAAATACACAGACAGATTTCTCCACCCAGATAGGATAAATCCTGTCCTTCTGTATAACCCTTACAATGTCCAATAAATGAGACTCTATAAATGCAGTATGTCTGTCCTAAAAACAGAATGAAATCAATGAAATGCTTTATTATTCCTATTATTAGCCCTTAACTTACATAAGCATATTACATAAATTCAGACAGATAAGCCTATTATATAAATTCTGTTTTGATTAGCCTATTACATACACATACATTAAGTTGGATAAGCCTATTACATAAATTCAAGTTAGATAAGCCAATTACATAAATTCAATTGGATAAGACTATTACATAAATTCAGCCAGATAAGCCTATTATATTAATTCAGTTTAGATAAGCCTATTACATAGATTATGTTGGGTAAGTCTTTTTCAGACAATTAAGCCTAGTACATAAATTCAGACAGATAAGCCTCTTACATAAATTCAGTCAGAAATTAGCCTATTACATAAATTCAGTCAGATAAGTCATTAACATGAATTCAGACATTTAAACCTATTACATATATTCAGACAGATAAGCCTATTACACAAATTCAGTCAGAAAAGCCTATTACATAAAATTAAAATTCAGTTGGAAAAACCTATTACATAATTTCAGTTGGATAAGCCTATAACATAAATTCAGACAGATAAGCCTATTATATAAATTCAGACAAATAAGCCTATTACATAAATTCATACAGATAAGCCTATTACATAAAGTCAGTCAGATAAGCCTATTATATAAATTCAGACAGATAAGCCTATTACATAAATTAAGAAAGATAAACCTATTACATAAATTCAGATGGATAAGCCTATCACATAAATTCAGATGGATAAGCCTATCACATAAATTCAGTTTAGAAAAGCCTATTACATAAATTCAGTCAGATTAGCCTATCACATAAATTCAGTTTAGATAAGCCTTTTATATAAATTCAGTTGGATAAGCCTATTATATATATTCAGTCAGATAAGCCTATAACATAAATTCAGTTGGATAAGACTATTACATAAATTCAGTCAGAATGAAACCTATAACATAAATTTAGTTACTTAAGCCTATTACATAAATTCAGTCAGATAGGTATTTTACATAAATTCATTTAGTTAATTCAGTCAGATAAGCCTATTACAAAATGATAAATTAACAGTTTAGATAACCTTATACATAATATCAGTCAGACAAGCTTTTAACATAAATTCAGTCAAATAAGCCAATTACATAAATTCTACATCATCACGAGTTCAATACTGTGAATTCAGCAGAACAAGTTTATAATACAAATTTAACTGATCTAGATTAATTCTTAATAAAAAATTCAAATTCATCAGGTCACAATGATTATATGAATTCCGCAGGACATTTTACAATGTTACACGAGAAATTCTGAAAGTCCCTAAACTTTTTGCTTAATTCATGTGGAAGCTAATTAATTGGAAATCTATATTTTTTAACATTAAACCATAACAGTAATAGGTAATTATTTCCTCTTTTACACTTTCTTTCCTTAAATATTCATTACTGCAATTAGTAATTTCACTTAATTGTTACCTTGAAGCACTTTCAGAGCAATAATTATCAACTAAGTGCAGTAATGGTTTAAGTCATGACATTGTAACTTAGTGAAGTCACGAAGTCCTTCTAAATTTAATAAGAGTTAACAAGTTATTGCACTAAGGTAACATAATGTATGACACTGTTACATTTTTCCTGGAAAATGACAAAATGTTCTACTTAAAAAAACCCTAAAAATTCTTTCATATATCTATTAAATCAACAGAATTGTTGAATTTTATACACATTAATTAAAACAAATGTTCAGGGTGTTTTTTTTTTTTCGCAGCACATAAGGAACATAACCTGAACACTCTGACTCATAATCAAATATTACAATTTTGCAAGTAATATAACAATTTTCTAAAGCACAGTGCAGTAATGAAAAAAAAAAATATTTTTTTTTATTTTTTGTTCTTTAAATTGGAATTATTCTTCTTGAAATTGGGGGATAAAAACACTCTTTTTTTCAGCATTTGGAACAAGAATGACCCAATATAGGTCATCAAAATGGCCACAAAAAAAACCTGCACAAGCAAGGACATATTTCAAAGGGGTTCACAAGACAACTTGTATTTCAATAAAGAAAAGCAGTCATGACAAACTGAATGAGTCATTTACCTATGTTGGTGGTCAAAATGCATTATTGAGCCGTGTCATGACAAAACCAACATAATGAGTTTGCGATCAGCATGGATCCTCGCAGTCTGATCAATATCCATGCTGTTCGCTATCAGTTTCTCTACTTGTTCAAAGATTTGTAAGCGAACAGCATGGATCCTCAGATCAGACTGCGAGGATGCGCAGGCTGGTCTGGATCCATGCTGGTCACAAATGCACTATGTTGGTTTTGTCATGGCGTGGCTCATATAATTTGTAATGAACCAAGGAATAACCTGGAATAGGAAAAAGAAATTTTCTTCTGATTGCAAAGTTAACATATTTATAAGCAATAATAATACATGTATAACAATGCTATCATTTTTTCCCCTTCAAATGTTAGTTTCAGTTACATGACATACTCAGTAACAAATCCCCCCTTGTAAAGAAAATCTGGCAACCTAATACACATGTATGTCAAAAGTTTTGAGATTTTATCAAAAAATAATAATCTCTCATTCTTTTACCATTTAAACCTGTCAGTTCTATCAGTTAACAATCAAGAAGTTTCAGTTGTGTTACTATAAACAATACCTAAACACACTGCCGCATAAGAATAACAATTTTTGTCAGGTTTATTTAAATAACTGAAGTAGTAAAGCCCCTTTTAAATTACAAAAAAAAAAAAAAAAAAAATTTTAGCTATTACTATTACATTGTGAAAACAATATTTTTTATTTTTTTAGTTTCAGCAAACTCTAAAACTATTTTAATGCTTTACACTCTATCAATGGCTGCCATATTTGAAATAGCGACATTGTAAAATTAGTTTCAGTTTCTATATTAAATAGACTTGATATTGAAACAGTTTTTTTATTATGATAAATATACAGGAAATAAAACTACACAGAGATAATGTTTATCTCTTTTTTTAATGGTCAGATGAGAGAGTTTAAAAAGACAGTTGACCACAAATCAAACACACAAAGTTAAAAAAAAGAAACAATGAAGAAAACAAAACTGAATTCTGGGTAGTGAATCAGAAAATCAAGTGAACTCTGGGTAATGAAGAGCGTTATGTACATGTAAGAAAGTGAAAGTAACTTTCAAATGACTGATATCTTGAACATTGAGATATGAGGCAACTCATTGGTAATCAAAAATGTTATGAAACTTGCTTAAACATTGTATCTATGATATCTATCCTTATTCATGAAAATTTATCAAAAAAAACAAAAAAAAACACTCACACAAAAAAACATTCATGTATAATGCTGCATGGCTGTAAATGTATCAACAACCCGTGAAATGCTCTAAAAAGTCAAATTGAAAGTAAGAAATATAAAAAATATTTACATTTTGTATCATGTGCAAAATTGGGCTCAATTCACCAAGTTCATGTTAATGCACATAACCATATCTGAACCTTGTTTATAACAGAATGTAGGCCATTATACATAATTTTATATATGTCATAATGTGTTTTTTCCACAAAAACTGAAGAGCTTGCCAACTTTATTGTAAATGTGAGAGGCAGGGCACTAGACACCTTTTGGGACAGGTGCCCATAACCTAAGGAAGGGGAATTTTGCATCAATTTAAGGCAAAATTCGAAATTTAATGTTATTATGTATTTAGTGAATTTTTTTTACACTATTTCCTACCATTGGTTTCAATAGTTTGTAATTTTCCTACCATTGAAATCAATAGCTAGTATTAGACTAACAAATCAAACAAATTACATTAAGTTAATTTATTTTAGAATTTGGAGGGGATTTTTTTCCGAGATAGGGGAAAAATACATGTAATTTTGAGAGGGGAACAGTACCCAAATTCGGCCCCAAAACCGACCAAATGTCAGTGCCCTGAGAGGAGATGTTAAAAAGAGTAAAATAATTATGTATATATTTACCAGTATTTCCCAGTCATCAAATGAAACTGGCTCTACAGAACATCTTGTACATATAGGCACTTTAGACACAGGTCGAATAATAACCTGAAATGAAGAATAATTACATAAATAAAAATACCTCCATAATATACATTGTACCTTTATGTATAGTAATAAGATTACTAAAATGAATACTTTTTGGGCACCAAAGACAAGGGCCATAACTATTACATATTCTTTTGCTGTAGATCAATGTGTTTAAAGCTATATCTAATGAAGTATATTTGTAAAATTTATAAACAGTAAAATGAGGTTGTTTCTATCATATTTTGGTTGATTCTCCAAAAAGTTATAACAAATGAATGTCTCTGTTATTTAAAATTCATGTTTAACATAAAATGTTACAAAATAATAATAATTATTGAATTACTTATTATTATTTTGAGTACAGTTTTAAAGTTGCTTGCTTATAGATGAGCAAAAATATTTTAAACAAGAACTGACGGAGGACAGTAACGCTCGACTATTCGAAAAGTTGCAAATTGTTTCATTGAGTATAATAATGCTTACCTATATGAATGCATAAAATTGTTCGAAAACGTACAAACCTTTCAGTAGTTGTGGAGATACCGTCTAACAAGCAAAAATTTACCTAGAATTTCCAAGTCAAAAAGGGGGCATAATTATGTAAAAAAGCAAATCAGAGTTATGGGACTTGTGCCAATCATCTTAGATAATCACAAAGAATGAGTGTGTGAAGTTTCAATCTATTCCCTTCAGTAGTTATGGAGATACCAGCTTACACGCAAACTTTAACAAAGAATTTCTAAGTCGAAAAAGGGGCATAATTATATAAAGGTCGCTCACCTGTATATAGGCCCCCCCCCACCCCCGGGCCAATTTTTACCCAAGGGCTTTTATTTGTTTATTTGAACAGACTTGGTAGACACCCATAAGAAGATGTTTCATGCTCAACATCTAAGTTCTAGCTCATTGGGTTTTTTTAAAGAAGATTTTTAAAGTTTTAACTATACACATATAGTTAAAAACAATGACACCCCTGGGGCAGGGCCAGTTTTGTACCCCGGGCTTTTATTTGAACAAACTTTGTAGATATTTACTTAAAGATGTTTCATGCTTAATATCTAAATTCTAGCTATTTGGGTTTTTTCAAAGACGATTTTTAAGTTTTTGCTATACACATATAAGGAAAATCAATGACCCCCCCCCCAGGCCGGGCCAGTTTTGACCCTAGGGCTTTTATTTGAACATACTTGGTAGACACCCATTAGAACATGTTTCATGCTAAATATCTTAGCTCTAGCTCTTTGAGTTCTTTAAAAGAAGATTTTTTAAGTTTTTACTATATGCATATAGGGAAAATCAATGACCCCCTGGGGCGGGGCCAATTTTGACCCCAGGGCTTTTATTTGAACAAACTTGGTAGACACTCATTAGAAGATGTTTCATGCTAAATATCTTAGCTCTAGCTCATTGGGTTCTTTAAAAGAAGATTTTTTAAGTTTTTACTATATGCATATAGGGAAAATCTATGACCCCCTGGGGCGGGGTCAATTTTGACCCCAGGGCTTTTATTTGAACAAACTTGGTAGACATTCACTAGATGATGTTTCATGCCAAATATCTAAGCTCTAGCTCTTATGGTTCTTTAAAAGAAGATTTTTTAAGTTTTTACTATATGCATACACTGTATAGGGAAAATCAATGACCCACCGGGTTGGGGCCAATTTTGACCACAGGGCTTTAATTTGAACAAACTTGGTAGACACTCACTAGAAATTTTTCATGCTTAGTTTTTAGCTCTAGCTCTTTGGGTTCTTTAAAAGAAGATTTTTTAAGTTTTTACTATATGCATATAGGGAAAATCAATGACCCCCTGGGGCGGGGCCAATTTTGACCCCAGGGCTTTTATTTGAACATACTTAGTAGACATTCACTAGAAGATGTTTCATGCTTAATATCTAAGCCGTAGCTCTTACGGTTCTTTAAAAGAAGATTTTTTAAGTTTTTACTATATGCATATAGGGAAAATCAATGACCCCCCGGGGCGAAGCCAATTTTAACCCCAGGGCTTTTATTTGAACAAACTTGGTAGACACTCACTAGAAGATGTTTCATGCTTAGTATCTTAGCTCTAGCTCTTTGGGTTCTTTAAAAGAAGATTTTTTAAGTTTTTACTATATGCATATAGGGAAAATCAATGACCCCCTGGGGTAGGGCCAATTTTGACCCCAGGGCATTTATTTGAACAAACTTGGTAGACACTCACTAGAAGATGTTTCATGCCAAATATCTAAGCTCTAGCTCTTAGGGTTGTTTAAAAGAAGATATTTAAAGATTTTTCTTTCGGTTGCCATGGCAACCAGAGTTCTGCATGGAATTAAATTCTTTGAACAATTTTTAAAGGTGACCCCCCAAAGGAACTTCCCTGGGGTTTTGGATGAAATTGGCTCAGGGGTTTTGGGGATTCATTTAAAGCAAAAGTTTTAGGGGACGGCGCGGGGGCGGCGGGCCCCAAAAGCTCACCTGCCTTTGTGCAGTGCAAAAAAGCAATAAGGTTAGGGGCTTTCCAAAATTCTTAGTAATCCGGGGAACAGCGTGGGGGTTTCAATCCTTCCCCTTTTCAGTAGTTAGGGGAATCCACTTTCCCGGGGACGCGCCCCCACAAATGGGTACGGCTAGCTCGTATTCTCCCAAATAGTCGAGCTAAAAAAAACTTGAAAATTTTTATCTTTTAAAATTGATAAAAGTAAAAATTTACATGTCTCACTTGTATGTTGTTAAAATTGATTTTACAGTATTATCCAATATTTTCTTTCTACTGTATGGGCTCTTTTTGCTTTTTCCAGCGTGGGTATGGTGGCTGATTTGGAGCGCTTTTGTGTCGTGTTGGCTCCAGCCACAACAGGACAAGGCCCTAAATGGCGTGTTGTTGTACTTTCATCTTGTCGTCCTGGCGCTAACGATGTACACCAAAATGGGCTTTTTTGTGTGCAGATCTGTTGTTACATTTTGTTTAAAGTTTCGGTGGTAATTCCCCATCTTTTTCTAGAAACTTCTTTTTTGATTTCAGTATTTTTTTTTAAAAATTTGGGAATTTTTGGCAGAAAAAAACGATTAAAACCCATTCATTATTTAAAGATAATAAGGGGAAAAAAATGTGTGAGTTATGAAATGCATTAATAATTTATTTATAACAAAAATAAAACATACTGAGAATCAAAATCGAAGTTTTCTAAGAAAACTGATAGGAGATTATTACACACCTGAAACTTAATATACATGTATACAAGGCATTAGTTACTGTTCATATTTGTGTCTCTAGGTTAAGTACACATTAACCAAACAAGTACCCATGTTAATAAACTCTCCTTTTTGTAAGTGCTTTCCAGGAAAATTGCACTCCTTTAAGTACTACAATTCCAATAGTTATTTCAATTCAAAGTGACCACCAGTCCATTCCCTGTTTTTTTAGTGTTTTGTTTTTAATTTCCTCTTCTTTCCCAGTACACTACATGCAGCATAAAGATTCTAGTTTCCAAGAAACTCACTGAACACACATAACTGCAGTGTCTATTCTAGGATTTGAAAAAAGGGGGGATTTTTATTGAAAAGTGAGAATTAATTACATTTGTTGATTTTTTTTCCTTCTTTCTCTATGTAAAATTTTCCCCCTGTCTCTGAAAAAATAGGGGGGAATTCTCAAAAATAGGAGTGAATCCCCCCATCCACCCTCCTAGAATAAACACTGATAACTGTTTATCTTCCATGAATCCAAAATGCGAACATGTTTAATGTCATGTATGCCTTTTTACTGATTTAAACAAAAACTTATGCTATCATTAATCAATGGCACACAAGATCTGTTTAGACAGTGCATTTGACTATCCTCATTGCTTGATATAACAACAACTGCCATACAAGAAAAGTCTAAGTTAACAAAGGGGAACAATGCAGTAACTTTAACCCAAGAGTTACAGATCTTGAACTTTGATCATGTTTGGTGTTTATGTCAATTCAACATATTTTCGGTCATAATTATTGGTTGGTCCACCTAGCTGGCTTTCCTGAACAACAAACTAGTAATTTCCAATTTCTCTGGAAGTGACAGATTATTAATCCCACATGATTTCTACTATTATGGTCTTGATGTTTGATGCTTCTAATAAATAACGGAGCCGTGGCACGACAAAACCAACATGCTGGTCGCAAACGCACTATGTTGGTTTTGTCATGACGCATCTCAATTATATATGTATGTGCTGGACAATTTGAAATGAACATTGCTCTTAGTGTAGCACCCAAAACATAATACTGTTTCATACTTTTCTATCATAAATTTCTAATATCTATTTATAAATCATGTATATTTTCAATAGAAGGTGAATATTTTGAAGAAGAGAAATATTGACTTTAACATGACATAATGCTATTATGACGCTAATGTCTGGTCCGCGTTGTGTAACCAGGTAGTCTTATAATTTTTTCTGCTACATTAAATTTGATGATTTGCACATACACTCAGCAATGGCATATCAAATATCAGTGAAATTCATATAGAAGTTTATTTATTATTTTGTATTTAAACTGTTGTTCACAACTTAATGGGTTAGCCCTCGATATTTAAGTATTACTGTATAATTATGTCCGAGATTTTAGCATTCCTCAATGATATTTTATTTATATTGATGATATTCTTTACTACAGTGACAAGGCCTCATGGTAATAAAACGCTGTTTTTTTGTTTTTACTTTATGAAGAGAATTGATTCCATGAGAGGGAAAATGATTCCATGTAAGTTACCATAACCCAGTCAGTTAATGTAATCCCACTAAGAAGTGAAGACGCAACTTGAACATGTAGATCTGAACCGAAAACATCATATGAGCCGCGTCACAACAAAACCAACATAGTGCGTTTGCGACCAGCATGGATCCAGACCAGCGTGCCATCTGCGCAGTCTGATCAGGATCAATGCTGTTCGTTATCAGTTCTCTACTTGTAATAGGGTTGGTAAGCGAACAGCATGGATCCTGATCAGACTGCGCGGATGGACTGTCGCAAACCTATTATGTTGGTTTTGTCGTGGCGCGGCTCATATTATACTACATAAAGTGAGAATATTACCTTGTCTTCATCTTTGAGGCCGACCTTTGCACCAAAGAGTCCATTGATTTGGAGCACACCATCTGTTTCTGCTGTCCCTCTGACCGTCTCTCCTGACCAACTCACAAATAATTTGTCACCACTTGTACCTTCAACTTCAAATACTTGAATATCTCCCTGAAAAACGAATATTGATTAGTTAAAAAATTCAATTTCAGCTTGATTAAGAAACTAGAACTCCGCAAGTCGGATGTGTCACATTGTGAACAGTATAGCTGTCACTTAGGCATTTTAGGGAAAATAACTCTAAAATCATGAAATACAGAGTACCAGTTTTTGTGCACTGCACTTTTTATCAATGAGATCTATCATCCTATGAGGATTCAAGTCCATAGCTTTTATAGTTAACTGTTAAGGAGAAATGGCCAGGACAAAAATAAAGTATGCACATTAACAAAGGGCAATAACTCAACACATAAGAAGTGCAGAGTGCTGGTTATTGTGCACTGCACTTCTTCTTAATTAGATCTTTCATCCTATGAAGTTTCAAGTCCATAGCATTTATAGTTAGGTAAATGGCACGGACAAAAATAAAGTATGAAAATTAACAAAGGGCAATAACTCAAAAATTAAGAAGCGCAGAGTAACGATTCTTATGCACTGCACTTCGGGTCATTGAAAGAAGCACTCATACCAAGTTTCCAATCTGACTTATAGTAACTGAGTTACGCTCCGAACAAGCCTTCAGGGCGACCGAAACCAACGCCCGCTAACAAACAAATGTAACCCCCTATATGTTACCTGTTTCCAGGCGACACAATAAATGAAGATAAAAACTTGATTGTACATTTTGCTATCTGGCTATAAAAATTTCTCGGGAGAAGTGCAATTTCTTACAAAGACAATAAAGGAAAATCTAAGCAAGCCAAGAGAATTTTATTAAAATTTGCCCTATTATTTCCTCAGATAATAAAGATGGCATGGTATTTTTTACACTGCCTTTTCAAATCTGTTGGCTTTGATGGTAATTCAAAAACTCAGTATAAAAAACATTGTTTTCAATTCATTAAAGTTTTTGTATGTTATAAAATGACCAAGTAATTTATGGTATGGTATGGTATGGTACAGGTTGGTGTGGTATGGTTGTGTGGTATTGTATGGTATCATATCATGTGATATCACATCATATGGTATTGTAGGTAATATAATGTTATGTACAGTAATGTATGTATTCTATGCTTATGGGTCCATCCGCATATTAACCTAATTCACTATTAAGTATGGACCCCAGACATATCACTGGCCATGCTCTTAAAGGTTTAATTTTGAAGCACAAAGTGGTGATAATTTACTATAGTTAATGTAACATATAAAAAATATAATTATGTACCCTTTGATATTTATGAAGTTCCTAACTATTTTTTTTAATTAGAGTTTTGCAAAAGCTTTTTGTTTTATTTTGTAGATTTTGTTAAAAATTGGATTTACTCCAAGCTAGCCTATTGGTAATTATTAAAACTTCATGTAATTATATAACTGTGTTGTAAAGCTTAAAGTTCAATACAATTAACTGTCGTGTTCAAATAGCATTTAAATGAAGATATTGCCACGTAAATTCATATTGTTCTTTATCATTTAAAAAATAACCTGGGAATATTCAATTTAAGATTTTTTTTTTTTTCAAATTTATCTTTTATCTTAAAAATTTTAAGATTATTTGTTCAATAGTATAAATTGAGGTCAAGATGCCGGTGATTTTTTTTCGTATGATTTAAGGCTTGTTTCCTCTTGCCTAAAATAGCTTTATTATCCCCTTAAATCCCAAATATTCCCTTAAAATGAAATGAGCCGTGTAACGACAAAACCAACATAGTGGGTTTGCGACCAGCATGGATCCAGACCAGCCTGCGCATCCGCGCAGTCTGGTCAGGATCCATGCTGTTCGCTTACCAATTATATTACAAGTGGAGAAACTGATAGCGAACAGCATGGATCCTGATCAGACTGCGCGGATGCGCAGGCTGGTCTGGATCCATGCTGGTCGCAAACCCACTATGTTGGTTTTGTCGTGACACGGCTCAAATCATGTTTTCCACTTGAATTGGAAACAAGAAATATCTTCAAGAAGATAGTAAAGGCTTGGACTAAGTAATACTGGTTAACATGCAAATGTTGCAATGCTTGCATAACAATGACATACTTATTATTTTTTGTAGCAAAGAAAATACCCATTTTGTAAACGTTGAAATAAAATTATACATATTGATGATTTTTCAAAGTAAGACAACTTCCATTTAAGATGTCCCTTTTACTTGTTTTACGTTTCACTTTATAAATTTTGTAATCATTGGCAACAGTTACTGTGCATTTACTTAAATCTTAAAAGTTAAGCTTAAAATATATTGTGTAGCATGCATCAGTTAATGTGAAGCAGGCAACACAAAAACATTAAGGGCCAAAACACCTTTATATTCAAGTTATGTTCTTTCAGGGCTTTTTTTCCTTGATAAGCAGGGGCCGTTATAGGGCAGCGTGTGCTTCCCCAAAGAAAAATTCTTTAAAATCATGCAGTTTTCCCCAAAAATTGAATTTAAATCAAGTTTTTTCTTCCCCATTTACAAATTTAATTATCGTGTAATTTTCCCCCTAAATTAAGGGCAGGGCTGCTTCCCTAACCTGTGAAAAAAAAGCCCTGACTTTTAACACTTGTTCACTCAGATTTCATGATAACTTGATAAGTAAATACTTCGACAAAGAGCATGTAATTTAGAAATATATATGTAACATAGATTTATTATAGTAATCAGGGTGTTCTTGTTTGACGGGAGATCTCAAGTCTTGACCCATGAAAATTCTCAAATACACTGATTTGTACGGTGTCCTTATCGTGCCATTTAGAATGTCGTCCGTCGCGTCTAAGGGTAGACACACGACAATGCGAAGTGACATCGCGACAATGCGAAGCGACGCTCGACAACGCGAAGCGATATGCGACAATGCGAAGCGACGCTCGACAGTGTCAAACGATATGTCGCACTGTCGCCTAGAAATGTCGCGGTAAAAAAGGGCGACATTTAAGAAATGTCGCTTCGCGTTGTCGAGTGTCGCTTCGCATTGTCGAGCGTCGCTTCGCGTTGTCGCGATGTCACTTCGCGTTGTCGCGATGTCACTTCGCGTTGTCGCATTGTCACTTCGCATTGTCGAGTGTCGAGGTTGGTAGAAGTGCATACCACGACACTCGACAATGCGAAACGACAACGCGACAATGCGATACGACGCTCGACAATGCGAAGTGACACTCGACATCGCGAAGCGACATTTTTAAAATGTCGAGTAAATGTCGCGTTATTTTTATGATTTTTACACCGCGACGCTCAACATTGCGAAGCGACACTCGACAATGCGAAGCGACACTCGACAACGCGAAGCGATACTCGACAACGCGAAGCGACACTCGACAATGCGAAGCGACATTTGGAATAATATCGTATCGCATTGTCGTGCGTCTACCGGTGCTTGGTCAGAATTTACTAACTCACCGACAAACGGTGCGATCATGGAAGGGGTCGCACTAAACTGCTGACGAATTAGCTGACGATATAGATATATAGGAAACTGCTGACCAGTTAAATAAAGAAGGATTATCGGAAAATGCTGACCAGTTACACAAAGAAGGGAAACATTGAAGGTGTGAAGTTATATAAACACGCCGTAGGGGGTAATAAAAAGATGGGAAATTACTTTTATTCTTTTAATTATATTTTTAATTTTTGCATTTATATGACTATGTTTATAAACTAAATTAATATATACATTTAAAGTACCATAATATCATATATTTTAACACGGATTTACATTACTACATGTAATATAAATCCGTGATTTTAAAAGGATATATTAAACAGCTTTTTATACCTCTAAAGATATGCAAAAATTTGAATTAATGTTTTATAAAGAATTATGATGTTATGAGTTTTATCAAAATCTCTTGTTAGTGATATTTCAATAGAAAAATCTTGTAACGGAAAAAAAATGTATTTTCAAAAGCAATAATTGCAATTTGAATTAATATTAAATAAGTCAGCAGTGTTTTAACTTAATTAAATGTCGACAAAATTTTATACAATATATTGAATTTCGTACATTATAAAATGAATTAAAATTTCACGACAAAATATATTTTTTTCTATATTTCTAACTGGTCAGCAGTTTCCCTATATATCTAACTGGTCAGCAGATTCTACTACATGTGTATATGTTTAACTGGTCAGCATTTTCTCGCCTGAATGTAAAGAGCGTTAAATTTGCTAACCATATAGAATAAGAAGAGTTTTACGGCTTAAATCAATTTGAAATAACATTAAATTGGTCAGCAGTGTTTTTACTTAATTAAATGTCGACATAATTTTATAAAATAAATTGAATTTGCATACATAATAAAAATGAATTACAATTTCACGGCAAAATATATTTTTCTCTATATATCTAACTGGTCAGCAGTTTCCCTATATACGAGGGCTGTCCGGAAAGTTCGTAGACAAGGCTATAAAATTATTTTAAGCAGACATATCAATATGATGATTTAATACTTTACTTAAGTATTTATCTGCTACATATTTCTAAATTAAAAAACATGATAAAAGTAATATTCGCAAAGCGCCGATCACCATGGCAACATGATCAACGAACCACGGAGCACTTTGATTTCATGATGATAGCTACTCGAATAAAAAGTTGCTAAAAGATGTAATTTTAATGCAATCTCTCGTTTTAATTTTGTGACATCATAGGATAGTATAACATGATATTCAGTGTAAATTATGATGTCATACGTAAATAAACAGCTTGTTTACGGCGATTATAGGCAATGAAGGTACGTACATTTTGTGTTGCAAAAATGACGTCAAATTAACGGACGGAGCAACGTAATGATATTTAACTTCATAGCAACGCTAATATGGCGCCAACTGAGATTATAATCTTTACCTTTAAAACAAAATTAACCATGAAATGTTAAAGGCAACTTGTGTTTAAATGAATAAATGTCAAACAAGATAAAGAAGCGGTGATGACAGGATATTGTATAAGAAACGCTCCAGAAGTGACCAAAAGTAGCATGGCTGAAATATCGTAGATTGCGTTACAACATTTTTTGAAAAAGGCAGACATCTTACACA